CAAATTATATGGCAAATGGTCCCATTTTGCCAATTAAATCTCCATCTAGTGCATAATGTCATATGCCTTTTGGTTCAATCAAGCCGAAATCCAATCCGCCATCTACTTTAATTTAGATTTAAATTCACTCAAGTCTAGCACTTCAGTGTTCTTTGTTCAAATCTTCTTGTCATTATGAGTTCAATTCCCTGTAACTACAAATTATGTTGCATGTTCAAGTTGTTTAAATCAATTCAAAGTCCTTTGCACTTGGTTCAAATCCGAGTTCAAGTCAAGTCCAAGTTGTTGCCAAATCCAGTTCAAATTCATTTAAAAATACATTTAAAATTTTGCCCATTTTGAATACAAATTCCTTGTAGTTTACTCATCTTAATTATACTCAAATTCAAATTAAGTTCATGTTATTTGAGTTCATCTTATGCTCAAATTCATTCAATGTCATGCTGTCCAAATTGAGTTTAAATCCAAGTCCAGTTAGAGTTCACCTAAGTCATTTTTTGTTTAATCAAGTTCAATTCATTTGAATTCAGCTTAAATTCTCAATTCATTCAAGCTCAATAATGTACAAAAATCTACAGGTTCGGGCCCCTGTAATTTGTTCATTTAATTTCAAATTTGGTCCTTTGCATTGTTCATTGGAATTTATTTTCAATTCGTTGTCGATTCAAATTTAAATTCAGTTATAGTCCATTTGAGTCCAAGTTAGGTCCCCTGTCCACTGAAAAATCTGGCAGCCTCCCTACCGCCACGCTAGAGAAAAGCGTGTACAATAGGTGTCGGATCACACCACGACCAAAAATCATTAATCCCACCACACCAGAGAAAGGCTTGTATGGGTATTCGGGCACCTACTTGAAAACGCAGTTCTTTGCCCATAGGTGTTGAAGCACCAAAAGGTACTTATATTTGTCCCCTCCACGCTAGAGAAAAGCATGTACAGAGCCTACCCGCTTCGTCGTAGGCATCGCACCGGGTTCCCTTCCCACCACGCTAGAGAAAAGCATGTATTGGCGTTTTTCCGGCTCGACACGAACGCGAAAAGGCAATTTTTTTAGTTGAAAGAGTTATACCTGCGAATTGCGACAACGAGGTGGATGGCATAAGAATCGAGACAACTTTTTTTCTTTTTTTTTTTTTTTTTTTAATATTTCTTTTTTCTTCTTTTTTTAAAATTTTTTGTTTTTATTTTTTTTTATTTTGGTGACTTTCTACTCTCTTTTTTGACCTTATATATATATATATATACATTAATATTAATATTAACACTAATAAGAATAACAAAAAAACATAAAAAAGAAAACGAGAGGGGGATTACCCTTTTTGGATTCTGCCATAGGTAATAGGTTAAAATCGGGTTGGAGGTTGACAGAGATGGCGATTTGGTCTGGGATTTGCGAATAAGAGAGGAGGGGGTCGAAGGTGGCCAGTGGAAGTAATATATTGGTACCAAAATGATTGTTCACATATGCTCTTGTTCTTTTGCACACAAATGCTTTTTTGACAAATTTAATCAACCAGCAAGCTTCCATTTCTTAGAACTCATCTATAAGCTTAGAAGCACGGTATAGTAATATATTCAAAATAATCTCATTGGTAATACACTTTTATTTTTCCAAAAACCGATATTCAAAATATTAAAATTAACACCCAACACTTTTCATTCATTTTGGCCAGCAAACTATAGCCTCCCTTGTCTAGAGATAAGGCACATGCTGTAGGCTTAAAGATCTTTTGCCAAGTAACAATCTCAAACTTATAATTGCTCGCTGAACTTGTACAAACAGCCCTTCAAAGTTCCAGACATTCATTTGCAGTGATCTATAGCTTTCTGACATCAGTTGGCTGCAAACAAATGTGCTATTGCTTAAATCGGTTTTCACACATACTCTCTCTAAAATAAATCAATGCAACTAGTTAACTTTTGATTTGAAAGTCCTAGCATGCATGGAGCTCCCCATTGTAATACTCATTTGTTTTTTTTTTTCTTTTAATTATTATGCCAGTGTGTCTTAATCATTTATATAGCTTGCAACTCTCATCTTGTAACGGACGATCTTATGCCGGAAAAAAGATAACGGAAACCGAGTGTAAAGGATCCAATTCATCACCAATATGGGTGGAGCGGGTGGTCTTCATTAGGTATTTAGGTGGTTTGTTTTCATTGCTCTTACTTATTATGAATGAATCAAGCCTTGTTAAGTCCTTCTCCCTCTTAGGGTGGATCAATTTCTAGGTCTAATTTAATATATATTTAAAAAAAAATTTCTCTTTAAACACAATTCATCTCTCCACCACTTATCAGCTTGTAACGCTCCACTGATTTTGAGGTGGAACAATCTAACCTCCATATTCTTTGATTCTTCAAGAATTAAGTGAAGGAACCAGCCTCTTCCCACTCTTCATCTCAGAAAGATCTAAACAACGTAATGAATTTCATCTATCCTCCTTCAAAAGTTTGAAGGATGACAGAACAAGTAAAAAATTATCAAAAATTAAACTTAAATCAATATTTCATCTTTGGTATTCTAAGAGGTTAAATGTCCCTCCAGCTTGCTGACCCTTGAATTCCCTTCATCAGCCAAAACAATTCTTTTCTTCAAAAAATACTAGGGAGTCCAGCTGGAACCAAACACACCAAACCTCAGTTTTAAATGGCATTTGGCTTGATTCATACTCTAAAACTAGTAACCCATTAGCGTCATGATGCTATTAAATTTGTACCAAATCTATCACCATCGTATGAGCCCAAATCACCATTGCTAGGCACAATGAATTCTCGGTCAAGAATGCATTTTTAAAGCTGTAGAGCTGTGATAAATAAATACTAGCATGTAAAGAAAAAAACCAATCCCAAGCTTAACCAGACTTTATTTTTTTGTGATATCTGATACTAAGTGGGGATTCATTTTAATGTTCCAAAATTAAAAAATAAATAAATAACCCAAAGTTAATGTAACCCATTTTTTACGCATCAAAAAAATTATAAATAATATTTTATAAAATTCAGTAAATTGCACTGATCATTCAAAAATTTAGATATTTGTAATTAGATAAGCTTATATAAGTTAAATTAGCAATTAAATTTATTAACCTAAGTTAACTATTAATACTGTATATTGGATTAATTTACTGTAGCTTTACCTAAATCCCACAATCCATACATTCAACGGAGGGAGGATTTGGAAAATCGTGATGAAAATCTGAAAGAGGAAAAGTAAGTTTAGTGGATTTACATCAAGGGAATATTAATATAAATATATAGGGATTAAATCCAATTAAGGGAAATAACATCCCATGGCTTCAAAAGCTTATTTCCGCAAGCTTGAGGAGGCAAATCAGGAGCAAGTCAAATGCTGGAAGGAGGGAAATCAGCTGGAGAAGGAGAAAATTTCAGGAAGAAGGAATAAGGGAAGAAGAAAGAAGAGGAAAAGAAGAGGGGAAGGAGAGAAGGAAATTGAGGTTTTGAAGGTAAAGTTGGATTTTTTTTTTTTTTATTCCTCACTGCAATTTCAAATCGAAGTAGAAGGTTTTCATGCTTGTATGAGGTGCGATTATATTAATGTAAAAATTTTTATTTTGATTTTACTTTGATTAAATTAAGTTGAGAAATTAAGAAAAAGTCAAATTAATAATTTGTATATCTTAAGTTTGTTTATAGAAGAATAAAGTTCCGGTTAATTGATAGGTGGCTAATCCGGTGGTTGATTGTTGACATCCTCAATTAGGAAAATATGCAACTTTAATTCAAAAAATCAAAACTTTTTTCATAATTGGGTATAATTTGATTTGTTTAATCAGCATATAATTTATTTTTTTTTATGAAAATATAAATACATTCCTAAATTTTAAATCTAAAAATATGCATGTACAATGGTATAAGGGAAAGTGATGTAAACATCTGAATACTCAAAATATGAAACTAAATTAAATTAAATTAACTTCAAAAAGATAGTATATAGGTATATATTAACCATTTGAAAACCTGTACACATAGGGTGACAAAAGTGAGCTCATTTGGAGGCAAAAGGGCCTCCAGTTAATATGTAGGATGACCTGAACATACAAGTGCAACAAAGGTGGCCCTTATGAAGACAAAATAGTCCTTGCCAACAAACCACCTCCACATACATGATATATTCTGAAATTGAAAGAAGAATTGTATATGATAAATGTAACCAATAAAATAAATTAGAGATGATTAATTAAAAGAACGCAACATGTACACACTTTTTTATGAAATATTGTTAATGCTTGAAGCTCTCTAACATTTTGCTTAAAATTTTGTTCTCAACTGGATATGTACGATTATGGGTAAATTAGTTATTTAGATATTTTCATATTTAAGAGTTTCAACTAGCACATGAGACAAATGTATGATTATAAATGATTTTATTTTATATTTGAATTTTGTATTGAAGTTGCTATCTTGCTGAGTTGTTTTAACTCAATCTATATTATGTTGAATATCATTTCAAGTAAAGAAAAAGGCAAGGTAGAACCTAAACAGGAATTATATTTTGATATTTTGTTCTACACTATCTTTTGAGTATACAGTTCTGTTGTAAGATAAAAGCTTTGGCAGATATCTATATTATAATTAAAATGGAATTATTTGATGATATACCATAGAATCCTAATATATTTTAGCAACTTTGTATTTTAATAGATGAAATGTTTTATTTTGGAAATGCTTCCGCTTTAGTGAATAGTGAATCTTTTTAATTCTTCTAATTTAGAATCACTATTTACTTCTTCTAATTTAGAATTCATGGTATACAAAATGATTAGGAAATTTTAACTTTGTTTGCCTCATGACGTCCTGGAGTGGTCATCATGGGGTATGAAATTCATATCCATAACGAGCTCAAATATGCATAATGAGCTACATTTCAGCATTAAAACTTTGTGGGGACATCATGTCCACAACAAACTAAAACATGCATAATGAGCTACACCTTTAGCATTAACAAATTAAACTTTTAGGAGAAAAAATACAATACCTGAAGAAACAGCTGACAGCTTCATAAATTTTATGCTTCTTTAGGACTCCATCTACTTCAGAATGCACCCGCATAATTAGGCAGAAACCAAGAAGATGAAAACGTCTACACAATCCACCATCAGCATACCAAGAGCTCGGGGATATCTTTGTCTTAGTAGAATAGATATCTATTATATGAAATAAATTCTTAAGGAAAAAAAAAGGTCAGTCGTATAAAAGAACCGTACTTAATCTTAATGTCATTAGATTCTTTAATTTAAAAAGAAGTCACCTCAGCGGCTTCATATTGTCCATGTCTAACCAGAAGGCAAGCTAACTCAATCATTGGGGTAGACGTGATTGAAGACTCGTTACCAGTAACTCCCCACACAATCAAACTGCTAAACTTCCACACGGACCGGAAGAGTTGATCAGAGCTCAAAAAAGATTTTAAAAACTTAGCATCACCTTCAGAGAAGCTGGGAAAATCAACCAAAAAAGCCAATGTATAGCCAGACAACCCAAGCTTTCCATCCGATGGTCTTTTGACTGCTTTACTACCTAGACTTACGACAGAAATATAAGCATGTGATCCTACAAAAACGTAAAACACCAAGGACAAATAATAGCCTAGAGGGAGAAAAGAATAACAAACTTATTAAATTTTGTAATGGAATGGTAAAAACAAAATCTAATCAAGATATTACAAAATTTCAAGCACATATAAAATAAAAATAAATAAACATATATCTAAGCTATCTACAAGTAAGAAAAGATCATGATCCTACTTAGACTAAACTAGTCAAACAAGTGGGTACTGACTTTCAGCCTAAACAGGCAGAATCCATCCAAGTTTTAATGCAAGATAGCAATTATTGAACAATTATACCACTTTAAGCTGAGAAAGTCAGAGATTGACGCCCTTTCATCAAATGAAAGGCCTCCAAGAATCAAAATGCTCTAGAGAACCAAAAGGCCTCTTAGGTGTAAGAACCGGGTTTGCCGGTTTGAACCGGCCCTTATCAAATAGCAGGCGAGCAACAACGAGTGAAAGAACAAGCCGCGAGTGAGTGCGAGGGTAGCAGACGGGTTCGGATCATGCAAATGAGCAATGAAACGCATTCAAATGCCAAAGGCAGCGACTCCTCGTGGGAGATAACTCCAATTTGCTCACTCCATTTGAACCACACGGATAGAAGATACTTTAAAAGAAAAGAAACGAACAAAGACTGACTGAGAGAAAGAAAGAGAGAGCAAGAGGGAGACTTCATGGAAGTCAAAGGAGGAGGTGGTCGGACGTTTGAGCAGCGATCGAGGAAGAAGACGCAAGTACGGGCAAAGTATTTATAAAGCAAAGATTCAGTAAGAGTATCATAACTTTCATTTATTTCCTCACATGTTCAAGGTTTATGTTACAATAAATTTTGATTTTAAGAAGCTAAAGAATATTCAAGCTATTACAATACAGGATGGAAAGGTATGGTTATCATTTAAAAAGAGTGATATATTTTATAAATAATAAATAAAAATAATTTATTATAATGTAATTTTAAATAAAATTTAAAAAAATTAAAAAAAAGAAACTATTTAATTAGCATGTTGATAAATTTTCTAAAATAAACCTGCGATTTAATCTAATACCTTAAAATTTATGAATTTTTAAAAGATAAATTAGTAAATATTTTTAAGGAAGTTTACTCTAAATTTATATTATATATGTGATTTTAAATTAAATAGGATAAATTAATTTATGTTATTATAATAAATTGTATTTAGAAGAATAATGAATTTACGAACTAAGGATAAATGACATAGAATATACTTAAAGTAATTAAGTAAAGAGAGAAGAAATTTTTTATAAATTGGTATTTAAAATGAGAAATTATGAGAGTTAAATAAAATCTAGATGTTAATTAAGAAAATTAATTATATAGCAAATCCCAAATAAGATAATAATGAAAATAATGTTTTAAAATTCAGTTTTAATTAGTGAATTATCTAGTTAGTTAAGTTAATTAAAGAGAGCAAGAGCGATTTTATAAGATTTAATGTTTTAATTTGAAATTAAAAACAACAAGTTAGAGAAATTGAGAGCATTTAGCAATTAAATTTTAACAACATGATCCTTTTATAGGTGTTAAGTGTATCGACCTAGAAGTACGGAGTAAAAATGAAGAAGCGCAACACCTAAGTTCAAGTGAGTATTCATGTCCTAATTTTAAGTAATGATATTTGATTTTCCTACACATGATACATCATATGTTGTTGTTATTTATTTATTTTATTGTTAATATTCTATGATTTTTCTTTATTAAAGACAATTGATCATCTTGAACTAGAAGCCTTGAATTTTTATATCATCAAAAGGTCATCATCACTCAAGTTCAAGCTAATCGGATTCGGGTCGGATCAATTTTGGGTCGAACCTGAATCCAACCTATTGACCCATTTTAACACCTATACTAGAGCTCAATATGATGGTTAAAAATCATGTGGTAAAGGCCCTCATCAACACAGGAAGCAGCAATAATTAAGTTTTCTTTTGTTTTAGTTCAATAGTTGGGATTGTCAGCCAAAAGAGATTTGTAGCCATCCTTTAGGAGGGATCAATGGTGGTGTTTTATATATGTTAGAGTACAAGTGCAAGGTGAAGTTCACAATATCTAATATTTTAATACTGAAGCTTTATGAGATGTAATTTTGTTGGATGTCAGCCATGTTTTGCTAAGGAATCCCTATTTGGGGGATCAAGATGCAATATACTTTCATAGGAAACAATTATTCACCTTTAATAAGGATGCACTAGAGTTAGCAATCTAGAATGTTATTTCTATTGAAAAGTTTATATCATTCAGTGGTAAATTTCAGGGTAAAAATAGAAAAAAGATTCCCATGAACATAGCACAGGTTGAAGAAAACTACCCTCTCAATGAGAAGTCGAAAATCAAAGGCAAGTCATGGAGGATCCCAAATATTTTTAAAAGATTCTTAGGTCTTTTACAATTTTTCCAAGAGTTTCAAGAGGATTGATTTCCATCAAGATACAACTCCATTTGTGGGGGTTGGACTGGCAAGAGATTTCAAAATTCAAATATTGCTAAAAAGGAGAATTCATAAGTAGAGTGGTAATAAATTAGCAAACAACCATATCCCCAAGCTATGGTTTACCACATCAAGGACCATTACAAGAGATTTTTCTATTGCATAGATTTAGAATTTTATCTATTTTTCCTGAAATTTATTAGTTAAAAAATTATTTCAAGAAGTGATTACTGATAAAAAAACAAAGCCCCTGAGTAATTCATTTGTTTGTTGTGGTTTCTTCCGAAATCATTGAGTATAAGATTTGAACATGCTAAAAGAATACAATTAAAAGACTGTACAAGAGGGAGTCACAGTTGGATAATTTAATAACCTATATGCAACGAAGAGAGCCGAGAGCTGAAATCATCCACGACTGTAGGGCTAGTTGGAGTGGTTCCAATAAAGTGGAGAACCAGCCATTGTGTTACTATTTCATGAGCCATGGGAATCAATTTTGCTTTTATTCGGGTAATATCAGCTTGTATCATTGAAACCTGCATGTATTCATGCCCAGAATCAATAACAGCTTAAATGCATAAAATGGAGAAATGTACCAAGAAAATTCTCATTATAATGTTGGAAATATACTTTAGTACAATATGTGAAAAGTTATAAAACATTGAATATTTTCACATAAATTATCTATCTATAAAAAAAATTGATAATTTGATTTCCTTGTCAGAATCATACCTGCCCGCTAGTATTGATCAAATAGCCAAGAAGTAGAAGTACATCAAAAGCTGTCTCAAACATTACCCTCGAAACTTGTGAAGTAGCCTGAACCAACAAGAAAAAATTGATACTGCAATTTCCTTCCAACTCACAATTTTGGCTGCTTCTATGTGGTTTCAGATACTCAAGATATTTTTCTACCACACTTAACACTCCAGCCCAATTTGAAGCCCTAGAGTGCAAAGCATGCAGAGAGAGCAACATGTCCACTGAAAAGTTCCTCAAGCTTCTATGAGCAGATTGCCTCTTTTCCCAAGTATCGACTCCAACCTGCACTGGCAGAGAACCAGCCAATGGATAGTATCCAGTTTCCAGAATCTTGAGTAAGTGAAAGACGACGTCTTCAGATGAAATTGAGGGAACAAGAAGAGATTCATAGAAAATAGCAGAAGCGGCTCTTCCTATCTGATGATTTATGTGACTCGTGCATCTAAGAACTTCATAAAGCAGTTCACTATCATCACTGTCTGTGGGTAAAACCAACCCATAGCTTGTCAAATCATGAAATTCGTCAGAAGAACCTGAAAGATAGTAACGGAAGCTTTATTATTTATGACAAGAATCTATCAAGCTCGCCTTCAAGCAACAAGGTGTTTAAAAAAAAGACCTGACCATAAATAAGCTTCTCAATCCCTTCCAAAGAACGGAAAAGAGATAAGGAATTTTTCCTGATCAGACCAAGTACATTGTTTGAAGTATCAAAGAACAATCCATACGGCACACTATACTGACACCAGTACCGAAAATAATGAGAGCAAAAATCCTTCCAGTAATGGACCAGTGAGCTTGACATGGCAGAATTTACCTAAGCAAAACATCATTGGACATTGTTAGAGAGAACCAAATAAAATACTATCACATTCCAAGGTATACTATACACTCAAAAATGAAGTTACCTTGGCATTGACAATTTTGAAAATCTCTTTTCTTATGTCAGCAACAGACAAAGACTGAAACTCAAAATCAGAAAGATACTTCTGATCAAGAAGCATAGCACGTAGAGCAGCACTATGATAAATCCCAGGTTGGAGCAATCTTTGCAAAAATATGGAAGATAGAAATTGGACAACCTGGTCCTGAAAAATAAAATAGCAAAGCTCTAAAAGTTGACAAACCTATTATGACAATTGTTCATGGATAGAAAAAATATATAGAAAAAAAATCGTACAATTTTTAGCAAATATAATAATACTCAGTCACTTTCAGGGTGAACAGTAAAGGAAAGGCAGAACATTAGAGTGAAACATTAAAAGAAAAAAAAAAAGCAAAGAAATGAATACATCATTATCATGAGAACCGAATGTAAAGGGCAGTGAGGAAAGAGTACAGGAACTTTTCCATTTTTTTTCTTTATTTTTTTTTGCATTTTTTTTTAGCATATGTGAATGTGCAATTTGCATTTAGGTCCTTGTGTTTTTCCCAACATTCAGTTCGACTATTCTATTTTTCTAAACCTGAATATTAAGCCCCTAACAATTTAATCAGTAATCCATTTGGTCCTATCAAAATTATTTTAGAATTTTCTGAATTATTCTAATTTTTTTATATTTTTATTTCAAGTTTGCGTATTTTATTTTTAGGAATATCTCCTTTTAAATCAGATTATACAAAATTTTATGACTTACACAGATTTAACATTTAAATTATTTAAATTTGAAATATAAGCATATAAAAAAAATAGGAATTTAAATACTTGTATAATTTATTTGACCATGAATTGAAACTTTTGAGTCAAAATCCCCCCCCCCCTTCCCGCACTCTTCTTATCATTTTTATGACTCCATATTTAACATTTAAATTAATTAAACTTTAAATATAAACATATATAAAGAAATAAGAATTTAAGTACTTGTAATAATTTATTTGACTATGAATTTAAATTTTGGGTCAAAAATAATTTGACTAATGAATCATAAGATGCACTTGATAAAACACAAAATCTTTTGTTAGCTGAAATTGATTTAAATTTATCTCATTAGACAGACATGCACCCCAGGTCTATAAGGGATCCTTACAATTGCAACTCATGGCTATTGAAAAGGATCCTTCAATCAAGTTGGGTGAAATACCTCCTTTGACTACGTTGATTATGGACCATGACAATATGGGACGACATAACAATGAAATCTAAATCAGATTTGTCACCATTCCCAACCATTTGCTTTAAGCTAACGATAGTAAATTTCCTTAAACTTCATAATCAAGTAGTTGCTACTTATATATTGAGGTTTTAGTACTTATCTAATGATTAGCCTCAATCAGAAGTCTCTCTCATCACCATAAAGGATAATTAATCATAGGGATTTGCACATATGAGAAAACTAGAGCTTAAATACCTCGTAAAATGAGAGCAAAATTTATAGGATTTGTCTCATCTTCAATCTAATTTTCCTTTTAAAAATATGACCCGAAACAATTAAAACGCTCTCAATAGAGCAAGGGCACGAATATTCGAAGCCCATAATATAAAAACAATAGCCTAGACGTCTATAAAATAACAAGAAGTACTCCAAATAAGCATAAAATATCATTAAGAAGATAAAAAATACTCAGCATAAATAAAATAGAACATCATAAGAATTCCATTCAAGTCAACTCTATACCTTGCCAATATACTTTTACTTGTACTATTTTTATCATTGTTTAATTTGTGCACATATGAAATTGTAGTTAAGCTTGACATATAGTATAAATTAAAAGGCCTTATCATCTCTTGCCAATCCCCCCTTAAAATTTCTTTCATTTTCCACTCCACATTTGTTCTACCATCAATTGATTAAATCATTTCAGTAAATAGTTGTTCTCATTACGCTTCATGATTAAAATTTATCCTCATAAGCATGTACGGATGCAAAAGTGTTGAGGCAACATTTAAAAGTTTCAGATGGACTAAGAACAAGCTAATAGAATTACATTGATAACATGACAGCACCATATTTCTTGTTTCAAAACAAGTGAGGAACGCCAAGAAATCATTTCCACAATGCATTTACCACAAAAGGTGGCATGTAAATGATCCGTGTAATCAGTTATCAGACTATAGATATTACACAAAACACCTCAGTTTGAAACTGAACTCAGTTATTTAGTTCAAAATACCACTGCGTATCCTTACAATGAAATTAAGATGGAATACGAACAAAATTTACAAACTAAGCAAAATGGTCATCAAGGGTGAGCATGAGTCCAGTACCTTCATTGCAGAAAATATGGATGTGTTGGCCCACACTAGATCATCTAAAGCATGTTCAGAGTTTTGAAAAAGCTGGTCAGCAACAAAGTCTTCTTGCAAACCATAAATGGATGCATGTTCCCTGAAAAACATCTCTATAAAGTGTATGTAAAACTAGAACTATCAGCGTTTGAAAATAGATGGTCAGAAAGAACTTTTAGGAAAACAAAAGAAAAAAATTTGCAGTTTTAACCCAATTTGAGGCAGTCAGATTCCAAAGTCTTCAAACTACAATTGCATGTATTCACAGAAAAGAAACTCTATGAAAATAGTATTTAAAACTGTAGTTACCAGATTAGTCCGCATTTTTGGGTGCAGACCACATTCGAGGAAAATCAAAGGAACTGTCCCTATAAGCTTATATTAATATAAATGACTTACAAACCATTACAAATTTTCTTACATGGGTTCAATTATATTTATCTATTCCAGTATAGATCTCATTTTATTTTTCAACAAAATTATCTTTTTTATCCATAACTATCCAATATTTAAATATTTTGATATTTTGTGGTTTTATGCAGTAATCGCTCTGAGCAGCTGCACAAAGAAATGAAATTTTGAATCCCTAATAGTTCCCAAATGGAAGAGATTATCATGTCCATTACGTTATAAATCAATAATCAGGAAGACTTCATCGCATTGATTCAATCAATAATCAGGAAGACTTCATCGCATTGATTCAACTGACTATCAATCATGAGACAATAGTCCGTCCAACTGAAGTTCAACTTCTTAAGAGAGTTTGCTATACAGCGAGGTCTAATTTCCATTACATTCTTAAATGCATGCTTATTATGTGTCCAATAGATTGTCGCTCACTGATTTATTGAATCAATTTAATGTCATGTTGCTCATCATGCTTTCAATGCTGTGTTTGATGTAGGCTGCTTAAATTCTGGATATTGTTAATGTGGATCTACAATGAAATATATAAAATCAAGTAAATATATACAAATTCATGCAACAGAAACTCTTAATTTGGACAAATATTCATTACTTGATATGAAAACCAAAAGCACGAAGATATTCAATGCTAATGATAATACAATAGTTTTTAATATAAATGATACATGAAAATCAAAATCACAAAAATCATACATTTAATTGAAAACCATGTGTACAAAATTCAGAGTATATCCAGCTTGTATAAATTTTGTCACTCATGCAAATCAACCCTCCCGATTGTACAAGGAGGAAGCATCTCCTGAATATCTTCAATACCCACTTGATCAAGGAGTAGACAATAAGGAATAAAAAAACCAAGAAGTTTATTCAAAAATATAACTTCGCTTTTTTTGTACATCTTTCAGATCCCTTTTCATCATTACAAGTGCTATTGATTTATTTGTTTATCAGAAGCTCAGCCCAGTAGAGCCACTCAAAAATAAGATAATGAAATAGAATCTGCTTTTTGCAAATTTAAACCAGAATCACTCAAATATGAACAAAGCCGGGTGAATATTCAAAATAGTTTGAATTTATTTTCAAAAATTTTCTAAACACAATTCAAGTCCGTGCCCTAAGAAATTTGCCTTAAAATTTAATTTTCTTTAGAATTGCAATTCCAACTCATATTTAGTTATCGTATAAGAAAAAATATGATAGATTTTCATTACATTATATTCTATGATATCCATAAATATCCAGGTTTTTGCCTAAAGGTGCAATATAACTATAAGCGAGAGCATTACATGAAATTTGATTGGCACATAGTCAGCATCAACGATAAAATGAATAAGGGAAACATTGGCCAAAAGAAAATTAGTATAATCTGTGAATTACCACAAGCAGAAGCAGCGCCTACAAACAGTATAAAAAACATGAAATAATAGCTCGGTGTTATAAGACTTACATTTTATAATCATAATCAGATAATTCATAAAACAATGATCCATCTTCTTTAAGAATCCAAAGCTTGTCTGAACTGACTTTCAAGTCAATAAGTCTTCCCTAATACAAAAATTGAATCATCATCCTAAGACAACAGGAAAATGCTCAAGAAAATAGATAATGTAAGAAAATCGAAACAAGCAACAATTTGCATAAACATGCATACATAAACAATCATATATATAGTCCATTCCCATGAATTTAAAAAAAAAAACAGTTTTTAGTTTCTATCCATTTTGCATTTAACAAATTGACATCTGAGCTACCAAGATGCAATTTAAGAAAACTGGTCATATTTTAATTAATGGAACAGCATATGGACTAACACCTAGATTCCACTAAATTCCACATTTGTTTGATTATTGATTAAGCAACTTCCTTTTCTTTATTTCCCTTTTCCTTTTCATACATCATGTTTCAATTAGCATATCTTAAAGAACCTGATAGTGTCATACAACATTCTTGATTTCGCAAAAAAACAAAAAACTCAAATCTAATGAATATTTTAAGTAACCAACAATAATATTGGAGTAAAGCTACAGATTTTTCAAAAATATTTTATAAATGAGATTTTTTAGCATGATCAAATGCATAAGATTCATGTTTCCTATACTAGATGTTAAGTGAGAACAATGTAAACTTTCATGACGTGTGCTTTGTTTTTAGTCCGGTTCTTGATGAAGAGAATAGACAGTCTTAAATTTCCTTTTGGAGTTTTCATAGCCGAAGAAAATCACTATATGTGTGGATTAATATAGTCCACAAAATAGGGAAGGGCCAAGCTATAATTTGAAGATGTACAAGGTAAAGATATTTAAGGATATACACCAAAATCAGGCCAAATCTAAATAGACGTTATACCAAAATGCAGCCCATTGCTCAACAAGATGTACCATGATTAGAAGGAAAAGTTGTGCTAATTTGCACCTGCTTCTTACTTAGCTTCATGCCTCTACAAGCACCTTTACACAGATATAATTAAAAAAAAAATGTAAACCCCTACATGAAGCTGTCACTAATGCAAATACTCGGGAGGTTCCTTTTTTTTCACTCTTAAATCTGAATTTACTGATAAGCTACTTTCATGATTCAAACCTTACAGAGCATTACTGAAGAAAATAAAATAAAAGTATTAGAAGGATTTAGATTTGCTCACATTGATGATCCACAAAAGCATAATATGCAAGAATAAACCAGATATAAGGGAGATCATAAGAGCTAAATAAGCCCAAGAGACTAGTGTTTCACAGAAATGATAGTAGAGATTAAATTTATAGCTGAAAGAAATGATATTAGAGATTAAATTTATAGTTGAACAAGCAAGCAAGTAGAACAAGAAGATCAAAAGAATAAAGTTAAGTCTAATATATAGTTGGGATTGTTAGTTGGGTCAATCAAACCCTGTTTAGACACTGTCCCAGAAAAGCCCTCATAAGAAAATAATAGGGTTGGGTTAGCCTTTCTAATAAAAAGGCTCGTGAAAACATAAACATCTTTTATCTACTATTTTGTGAGCTAACCAAATAGGCTCGTTTAGAATCCTTAACAACTTTCAGCTTGTTTACCATCTAAATCCACCACCAATCAACATGTGTGGATATGATCATTGGTCTCCAATAGTTAGAACAGATTGAAACAATTTGAAGTCTTCCTCGAGGAAGAAAGCAGTAACACCAGAGTTGAAGGCAATTCAATTCTGAGAATGTGGTGGAGGATAAAGACTAAGAAGTTGTGCAGTGAACCTGGAAGGATGGCATGAAACAATATTGATCAATTATGGCTTAGAAGAGTGGAGTCTATGGTGGGTTTGCTTGGGAGGTGATTAAAGGGGTGTAGTAGAGCCTGCGGAGGAGGACAAAGTGGAGCTTAAATGTGCTAAGAAGAGTAGAGCTGAAGCTTAAATTAACCAACACATCGCCTGACTCTTTGATTCAGAAGGCAGCAATAGTGGTGGAGGTGTGTTTGAGGAAGGAGTTGACGAAGGCTTTGAAGGCAATGATGAAGACAAAAATAATATACCATTATGAGCTTAAATGGGTTAACAAGACAAGTACATTTAGAATGGAAAAAAGGGACTTTCAGATTTAGCCCTAGAAAGCCCTAAAGCTTATTTAAACCCTTTTATTTTATCCAATTATAGGTCACCCAATGGACTCATGGGCAACCAAACCTCATTAGCATCCCAACAGTAGGAAATCAAGGAAAGAAGTCCAGAAAAATGCCTTCTTTCCTAGAAATCATCTCTAGTGTTTTAGTTGAAAACCCATGACAGCATGGTTGAGCAATCTCCCTCACTCTTAACGATAATGAGGCCTCTATCTGGATTAATCTATCAAAAATAAAAAAGAAATTGCCCACTCATCTTCCCTTCAGGATTACAGATGAAAAGATTGAACATTCTGACTCCCAACAGACATTATAGATCAAGTTGTTCAAAGATTACTGTCAACAGACATTTTAGATCAAGTCGTTCAAAGGTTAATATCAGAAAGGCTTCTTCTCAATGTTGGCCAAAGGTTTCTCTAGATTGACAAAGCATTAACCCAAGTCCACCACAGTAGCAAGCATAAACTAAGACCATTACTTCAATAGGTTAATGTGTCTCCATATATTTTAAGGTTGTATGCTTAGAATATATAAGACAAAATATTGAACAATTCATGTGACATTGAAAACAGAAAATCCTTGGAAGTGATCAGTGTGTCAAACTTTTACTGGATGGATAAAGAACAAAATCCCTTAATGCAAAGAAGAAGGACGAAAAGCAACAAGCCAACAATTAACAAAAGAGAACACTATTTTATGAACTGTTGATGAGGACATCAGATTTCGACACGTGTACCGTCGTCGGAGACGCGGATCGACGGCTACGATCCAGAGCCTTTATTTCTGATTTATTTTGTATTTTATTTGTCCTCACATTTTATTTTCCTAGTTTACCCCTGTGGGTATTGAGTCGTTATTGTATCCCTGAGGGCATTTGTGTCTTTCCAACTTTGTTCCAATTTGTCCTATTTATAGGAGGCCTCTTGCATTGTACTAGAGGATGAATGATGAAGTAAAATTTCAGTTTTCTTTCTTTGGATGATCTCTTAGTGAGTTCGTGAGAGGAGATGCCCAAGTGGGGTAAGAGTAATACCCGTCAATCTTGGTGGATTCCAAGGTTCGCGGTTCTTCAATTTTCTTTTCTTTTATTTTTCTTGTGTTGAATCCCCTCCCCTAAACCTCCCACCCGCCTCATCCCCCAAAGCCTTTTTTTGTATTTTTCTTCTAACCTAAGCTCTCCCCTTGTCGCCGGCCTCCTTGGGCCACCCAAGCCGCCACCCACCACCCACCCAATCGCCGGCCTCCCTCCCCCGTCCTCCCTTCTCCCCTCAGCTAGCCGTCGGCCCACCTCCCAAGCCCTCAAATTTGAAATTCAATTTTCAAATAGCCATTTACTCACTTTCCTAAAATAAATTTGGTCAATATGGAAAGTTTCTTATTGTGAATTCAATTAAAATTTGAATTCAAATAATTTCCTATTGTCTAAATCTATGATAGGAAACTTACCTATTTGATTTAAATCTGATTTAAATTTCAGATTTTTAATTGCTCCTTAATTAAATCCTTGGGGCCTACTCACTTAAACCAAATACCTCTCCCCCTCTCTCTATTTGGCCGGCCATCTATTCCCACCCCCCTCTCTCTCCTATCTCATTAATTGTCACCAATTAACTCCTCATAATCCCCTCTTAACCGCCGGCCCCCCTTTATGGGATTAATTTGAATTTCAAATTAATTCCCTCCAATTCCACTTAACTTGAAATATAATTTCAGATTTCTAATGATCACACCAAACCCCCACCTAGCCCAAGCCGCCCCCTTCTCCCCTTCCTCCCACCCGAACCCCTCCTCCCTCCTTTTCTCCTTGGCCGAATTCCCCCAAGTGACAGCTCCTCCTCCACATCGTTACTACACACGGAAAGGATCTCCCATGATCATGTATGGCCGATCCAGAGCGTGACCACGGATTCGTGTTCGACTATCAAGGGGATATCGACGTCATACGATCGCCGTTCTTCGACGTTGGATTCGGATTAGACCACACCGTCGAGGATTACTTAAACTGTATTCTTCCCCACCTCGTGAACGTCCTCGACGAGCAACTACTGGCAGACGAGCGGACAATCACCGGGCACCCACCCGCTTCCCCAACTCAGGCTCCTTCCCCGGCGACTAGTCCCCTCGGCATCACTTGTTTATTAGTGGCATCCTTAAGTTTGTATGCAATCCTCTTCCGCTAAGCCGAGCGACATCAAGAGTGAATGTGAGGGACTCCGAGGTGAATGATCTAGATCTTAAACCGTGGATTTTTGTGAAGTGACATTTGCTTTATTATTTATTTGTTGGTGTAATTTTGCTAGTCTCCTGTTGCTTTTAATTGTAATCAATTGGCATCACTTAATCTTCCGCGGAAATTTTCTAAAGATCTATCTTGATACGCATACAATTATATTTAGCTACGCAGAATTCACAAATTATTAATTTCTACACGCAATTCTTGTTTTGTATTACATCAACTGTATTTAGAAATTAGGCAACATCCACTAAATAGCCATTTGAACCCGGGATGAGCTCCTACAGTCTGCTTCTTCAAATAGAGATACTATATTGAACTCTGTCTCATATAAGCTCCTTATAATTCTTTCCATTGCTCTGAAAAGCTAAAACGGGTATATAAACTAAAACATCGCAATGTTTCTTTCATTGAAAGTCTCTCCAACACATGAGCTTCTCTTTAAAAGATATGTGGCAATAGAGAGTGTTTTCACAACTGATCGTTATGACAACAACTTCAGATCTTGACATTACCATTCAATCAGTTAAATGTATATTTGCATGCACAAAATACTTGAGATGAAATACAAAACTCAGAGTGTAACGTGAATAAACATTTTATAGAAAAACAGAACTGCTTAACAATTAAAACACATCCAAAGAGAAGCATTAGTTTACTTCAGGATAATCTCACCTTGTCCAGAAGGATGGTTTTCAACAATGGCTCCGGTGACAAAATGCTCTTCTCACCAACATTAATGCCAAAGTTATAAACAGCAACTACCTCAACATCAGATACCTTGATGGGTAAAGAAGTCAGAAGTTGTGAGTATATAGCATAGTAGTATAAAGTATCTACGGCATCAAAGATGCCAACTAAGCAAGAAAAAGTGAAGAAACCGATAAACGGCAGCAATAACGGTATGATTACCCTAAAATGGGAGATAATATTGTTGAAAGTGCTGGAATTACTCATACAAAACTTAAGAAAAACAAAATAAACACTGTTGCAACTATGTGTTCCATGCATTCATCAGATGTTAATTCTTTTGTCATACAGGAAGCACTTACATGTAAAACCGCTAAAGTAATCACACTAGCGTCATAGTTAGGACAACCAACCCATAACCGGGAGGGAGTAGTTCCTGCCATGTTAAACAGAAAGAAGAAATTTAGAAGGAAATAACGAATAATGTAAATTAAATAAAAATATTACCATCTCAACAAAAATTAATATTTTTAGCATCAAAATTAGAGACTTCAAGAAGAAATTTAGTTATCATCATCAAGGGATTTCTTTTTAATGAAAATGCTGTGATTAACCCTTCTCGTTAGAAACAAAAAAGTAATTCATAAAGTTAAATGAAGAATAAAAAGACCTGAAAAATATTTAAATAGTGACCACGGTGACATGTTATGGTACTATGCTACCATAAATTATGGTCTTGGCATGGTAAGAAATTGCTAAATGCAGACCAAATCTTTATTTTGCAGGATAAAAACAAATTCAAAACAAAATGTTTTATGAATAAATATGAATTATGTTATAACTTTTCTTGAGTAATTATTTGTTCAAAAGTTAGTATCAAATGTTTTACTATAGGTAAGCATTAATTTTAGATTTGAACCAGATATTGTTTTAAATTTTCACCTTCTTAGCTTCCACAAATACAATACAAAGTGGAATTCTTATTGGATTTAACTACTTTAGTGACCGAAAATAGAGAACTAAAAAGGGAAGGCAATTAATAAGGGAAGGCTGCTGTGGTGAAGAATTGGGAAACTCTTAATGTGCTGAAGGTTTTCTTCTTTGCATGAAGGAATAAAGCAGAGAGATAAAACATAGTAGATAAAGGGAGAGAAAGAGAGAAAATAAAATATAGAGGGAGAGGATAGTTGAGAAAATAGGATAGAGAGAGCAAAAGAGAAAGTGATGCAATCATAAATTCTGTAATTTCATTATCAAATATTGAACATTAGTTTTTAATTTAGTTTTTTGTATTTTTTTAGCTATCCAATGATGGGAAAGCATCCAATGATCATGGTAGGTTGTGCTTGGGCTTTGGTAGGCCTTTGGTTTGCTAGCATGATGGGTCCTTGGGCTGTTGCTGGTTCTCGGGTTGGCTTATGGTTCTCGGTTTGTGCTTTAAGTTGTTAGCTCATTAATGTTGAGCTGAAGTTTAGTTCATTTATTGGGGGAATTTATTGAACTACCTAGCTCATTAATCTAAAAATATATGCTCATAAGTCTTGGATTCATTTTGGAGTGGACTTGTCTCTTCTCCTCCTCTTTTCTTCTCATTTCCCTGAGCTGGGTGATTTCCCGTGCTCTGTCCCTTGGGTTTCCGTGACTGGTGGTTGGTTTCCTGTGCCGGGTGGTTTTCCCGTGCCTTTGTCCCTTTGGTTCTTGCGGATGGCTCCTCGGTTCTGCGGTTTTCTGCTTGGAACCCGTGGGTTTCCTTCTATGTTTTGTTGTGATGTTTGAGAATTGTTATTGTGGTTGTTGGCCTTACATTTCTCTATATCATATTGGCTATTTGGTGGTGCTATGGCTGTTGAGTTCCCCTCTCTTGCCTATATATTAGAGATGATTTTTGAGGGGAGAGGTTGTTGAAAATTGTTGAGCTTAGTTTCTAAAAACCTGAGGGTTTTCTCTTCCTCTTGGAAAGGCTTGAGAGCTTTGTCCACTACTTCTTCTCCTCTATTTCGTCTGGGCTTCTTACCTCTTTCTTCTCTACGCAAGTTCCACTCCAGTTGTATCCTTCTTCTTGAGCTGTGGTGATGTTTGTTGGCTGATTTGGGAGCATTTGCTGGAGGAGTTTGGTTTGGACGTTTGGACTATCTTGTTGTGGTGGACCATCGGTTTGCTAGCCCTAAGCACATATTTTACTTAACCTACATTTCGATCCATGTGAGGAAACCGTTCTGTCGATTGTTCTGAGGATAGCAACTTTTTTTATTTCTTTTGTTTCTTTTGACTTCTCTTCTAGTTTTTATCTGTCGATTTTGTGCTAATAGATGATTGCTACTATTTGAATCGAGTTTGGTTATAGTTTTGCCCATTGTTCCACTTGTTTGGCTTTTCTAACTATTGTGCTTGCATCAGAAAGGAAACAAAAAAAAAAAGAAAAGAAAAGAGAACATCCCTTGGCTATTTTGTTTGTGGTCATGATCTATTGTCTCTATATAGTACAAGCATGGTAGCGTCGATTCAAGCATGCTGGTCATATAAACAAGTATATGATGCACATAAGAGTATAAATGAGTTGAGTCAAACTCGAGCCACCCCTAACTTAAGCTTTATATTGATTAAGTAATCAAGTTCAAGCTTGAGCGGCTCAAGGTCAAGCTTAATTTTACAAGCTAGAACTGGCTCACAAGCCATTTCATTTATGATGAAAGCAAGAAGATCATTCTTATTCAATCAAGTATTATGACAATATGATAAAAAAATAAGAAATTAAATGATAAATAATAAGAAATAACTTGAAATAAGGAAGATTTGTAATGTTTACATAATTTTAAAAATGTATGCTAAAACCATCAAATTTTAATATATTTTAAATGTAATTTCTATTAATTTTTTTAAATGAGTCAACTCATGAGCCAATGTGTCGAATCAGAACAGATTCAAGCTTGACTCGTTAACTTACTAGGATCGCTCATAATCCATTTATCAAGTCGAATCTGAGCAAATTCACAAGTCAGCTTGACTCAATTACACCCCTAATTGTCACCGAAGTTCGTGACTAGAAAATACTACTCGAGGTCTGACATTTCTTTCTTTAAGATTCTAAATTTGTTGTTGGGCCTTTTAAAATTCTTCATCTAATATTTCAAAGAATATATGAGAATTTGGTGTGCCAACTTCCTCAAACCATATAATTTTTTTCTTTTATTTTGATTTTTCTACCGTTTTCTTTTTTATGCTCGTTGATATTTTTTTCCCGCAACAAGCATCTGTGCCAATTGGTGCTCCAAGTGAAAATGGCATAAATGCCTGGCAATAATGGAAAGGGGAAGATGTCCAATGAGAAAGATAATGGGCACTGATAGATAAGATCGAGGACTAGTTGTACCAAAAGAAACTTTATTATCTCTTTTGAAGACAAAATCAACATTCATGAACCAAGAAGACTAGGTACACTTGGACAGACTAGCAATTGTAGTTGTTTATCTATAACTTGCAAAGAATGTTGCCTTCAAAATGATGTTTGAAATAGCTATTGTAATGTCTGAAATCAAATATTAAAAAATGTCTAATCAGTCTCTGATATATATAAAACAAAAATGGTTTCACCCTAAAATAGTCCCTCAACACTTTGCATGTAGTCAATTTAATCTCAGATTATCACATTTCTCTAATTTAATCCCTCGACTAAATAAAATTATGTGAAAAAATAAGATGCACCCTTCCCCACTATAATCGAATATTTTCTCCATGCAACAATGAACAAGAGCAAGTCAATTTTGTTTAACCACGTATTTGACTGCCTTTATTTTAAACTTTCAAAGATTTCATGTTTTTGTGATTGCTTTTCTCAACAACAACAATCTTGGAAGCCATTTAGAGTTTATATAGTCACAGCAATAAAGTTGTAACAAATGCAAAGTTGCAAACTACATACATCCACATGAGAAGTACTCATACAAACAAAAAACATGGCTGCAATTCACCTAAAGAGTCTCAAGTTGTAGAAGTAGATACTAAAGATTTGCACACAAAATTGAGAAAAATAAGTTGATAAAACTTTGCCTGTCAGTTCACTTGAGCTCAAGTTATGATTAAGCACCCTCGCATGACTAACAAGATCCCATAAATGCACGATCCCATCAGAATGAAGCACAAAAAGTAATTTTCTAGTGCAAACTTCAGATATTACCATATCCTGCACAGCCCCTGCAGCCTTTCCCCTGCATGGCATTTCTTCTATAAATAAATTTTGAACATAATATCAAAATGTCTGAATTTAAACAAATTTAAATTTAATATTTGCTGATGTGAATTCAAAAACAATTATACTAAAATGTCACTAAATTAAACCAAATAAAAAAGATATCAACCAAGCAGATGAATTCCTCATTTTAACCGCTCTTTAAGTATCATTCAGAAGAAAAAAAAAAGGAAAAAAGATGGGAGTCTCATGCAGAGGATAGACGCTGCTTGGTTTAGCTATATTCTCTATGCATGAAACAGTGATGCTTAAACCTACCTGGACATGAGATTCCATAAGCGACCTAGTCCAGAATCATCTCGTAGTTCATACATGAATCCTATGGGGAAAAAAGATATTCAAGTAACCGCTACAAAAAGTACAGTAAATCTTGTGAACAAGTACATATAAAATATCAAGAACCAAGTATCCTTGATCAAAAAATGAAAACTCAAATAATGATTAAATATAAGAGCAAGAAATAAACCCGGTTTGCTAGGATCAAGAACTCCAAGTTGGTAACAGCTAATTGAACCATACTGACGCCCTAATAAAAGGCATCCTGATGTTGCTGCTACAGCTGTTACCTTTCCGTCCAGTGCATTACTTTGCACACTAAATTCTCTAAGATCACTCTGCGGGAAAATTGAACCAGACAAAAAATTGAAAGGCCTTTTCAAATTGAGAAGATAAACAGTTCCTGAAACAGTCAACGCATATAGCGAGTATGCATCTCCTCCTGCAAGCTGATGTGAAAAAACGAAATTTTTAAATGTAATTTGAGTGTAATGCAAGAAAAAATATTAGGAGTTTTCGCTTTGACAGGAAACACTGTTCTGGAAAAGAAGGCGCGGTGCGAACCTCATTTTTACACAGAAATGCAAAAGGATGAAGCGCGTCATGGAAGATAAGATGCAGCCCGGTCTCCGGATATTCATTACAAGCAAAGAGCTCAATAACCTCCAGAATGTTAGGGAAGTTTTCATGTATTCTCCTGTGAAGAAAAAAGAAAGCAAGGAAAAATACATCGATATTACATCTTCTGATGTAACCTAGGGCATCGAACGATTATGAGTTTTTAGGTGTTTACAACAAAAACTACAATTTCTGGAAGCATTGACAGATAGCATTTCAGTTTAAAAAAAAAAAAAATCTACATCAAGTGCAGAAACTGTAGCTGAAGTTAAAAATGGTACATTTAGACCAAAAAGGAAGAGCCAGGGCAGACTATATGCTAAGATGTGAAAAGCACAGTACAAAACAATCCGAAGTAAAACAAGAAGACGAATTACCATAAGAGGTAGGCTGGTGGGTCTCCGGAAACAACATTGCAAGAGGCAACGTTATGGTGTATCGCCGGAGTGGTAGCGACCACTGAGTCAGGAAGAGGCGGAGGCATCGATGAGGGGACGGTGAGCTCGATCCATTTGATCCCGTCTCCCGTGGCAATGGGAACTTCCATGGCGGCGAGAGGCCGGGCGCCAGCCGCCGACATTGGGACAAGAAGTTTTGTGCGGGGAATCGACAGGGTGCGGGATTCTGGCGGTCCAGATCAATGTTTAACTTCCAACTTTTATAGAATGTGGAAGGTTTTGAAAATCGGATCCGAACAATTCGACCGGTAGAATCAGAGTAGAATAGTTCGAATCAGATGACATAATAAATAATAATATAATTAAAAGAAATAAAATTAACATAATAATAATGATAATTTATTCATAAAAATTTTATAATTCTAAGAATTTTACACTAAAAAATAAATAAAATTCATACATATATAATATATTACATAATTTTAAAAATAAATATAAATAATTATTATATTTATGCTATATATTTAAATATAAATAATTACTAATTTTAAATTTAAATATAACATCTTCATTTTTTTATTTTAATTTATATTTAATAAAAATTTAGCATATATACAAATATATATATATTTGATATAAATAATTGATTTATGTTATATATTTAAGCATAATTTACATATATAAATTATATATAAATTTTACATTATAAAACTATATTTATAAAGTCATACAATATTATTTTTTAAGATTTTTATTTTTCTATCATTTAATTTCGCATTTAGAAAATGTTAGAACTTTAAAAATGATAAATAATTATTTTATTTGAATAATTATAAAATAAAATTAATAATAAATTTAAGAAGTTTAAAATTTATTATGATAATTTTTTATTTGAATATTCTACAAAAAGAATTTCCAACAATTTCTCATTCAAACAAGTCAAATGCACATTGTTAAATGTTGAAACAAAAAACAACTAGTTCTTTAGTCCCACATCACTTAGGAATTCTAAGTTGTGTTGTTTAATATTCTTTTCCTTGTAACTCAATATTCTAAGAGCTTTCATGGTATTATGGCATCATGTGAGCTAGATTATTTATATTTAATTTACTATATAATATAATAAAACTTTTGAATAATATTATTAAATAAGATATATGATATTTAAATTAATTTAATATTAATTAAACATTTTATATAAAAATAAAATATTTAAATATATTATTAGTTGAACCGGCGGTTCATGCCGGTTTTGGCCGGTTCGTTGTTAGACCGGTTCTTGGGAAGGACCGAACCGGCTGTAAGACCGGTTCCCGGTCGAACCGGCCGGTCCGGTCCGATTTTCAAAACAATGGAATGTACACAGCTCGCCTTGACTTGTTGGTCGAGAGCTTATGATTCCAACTAAAAGATTTTGGTTCTTAGTCTTTGCGTAAGCGTTATGTGTGTGAATTTGTCTTAAATGACCTAAATGTCCCCAAAAAAAACTTTTATAGAATGTTCCTTCAACCTGAGTCTAAAACACTATGGCGACTATTTAAAATAAAATAACTTGTATAAAATCCCTACTTAATATCATATGGTTATTAGTACAATACTCTTTTTTTTTACACTACGAATTTGTATAAATTTATTGGAACCAAGTGGTTCGTCAGATTTTTTTCCTTAAGCAGTCTAGCATATTGATATTGCTTCAAATAATTTCTATAAACAATATAATTTGTATTAATTTTGGGCATCCTAAGTGCGTCTGATAACTCATAATGGGTGATACACCCATCTCAAAATAATTGTTAAGATGCACGTAATAATTTATAAAAGTTGTATGCTTTTGATGTTAGGTGGATCTTTTGATAGAGATGGAGATTTACCTTCAGATATATGACAAAATTGAAGAAAATCGAGGAAAATCACTTCCATGAGCCGGGTGGGTCGAGCAATCGAAAGAGGGCAAAATAGGGGAAATAGGAGGCTATTGTGCGTGAAAAGAAGAAGAATGGCATCGTGTCACAACCCATATACCAATTAGATCATATTGTGTCGAGTCACGAAAGGACATTCCCAAGATCTATCTAGTAGAAGAGTTTCTTTTTGAGTTTTTATTCATTAATAGAAACACAGAGCCTTCAGTCATCATATTTAAAGCACAAAAAATAAGCCATCAAGATTTTCATTTATCTGCCTGAAAACTTCGCAATAAAATATCCATCATAAGTACATTCATGGTACAAAATCAATATTAATCATTAGAATTACACTATGATTTTCAGAAGAAAATCTAATACCATAAAACATACTGACAATCAAAACTATGCAACCTTTATATACTCAACCTGCCTCTTTTCTTTTTCCTGACCTAAAATTAATACATGTAAAAAGATCAGGTATGTGCAAACTGCGGCTCAATAGACTACATGGAACCTATCCAAAATCTTAATAATAAATGAAACAAAAATTAAACAAATCACTACATAAACAATAATATACTACTCGTACAAAAACATGCAACAAAAGGACATGTTGATCTAACTAAAGCACACAAATCCTTGAAATTGAATTATCTTGAGTTAAAATAATCATATAAACAATTAGAAGCAATTGCAAGTGAATTAGATCATAATGAGCTTGCATTGAAATTAGAAGTAGCAAGCTTTGAAAGTGCAAAAAATTCTCAAAATCAAAATCAATGCACTCCAAAATAATAAATCATCACCTACATCCACACAATGGTATAACCCCTCATCACTACATGCATCATATACCCCTAGGAAGAGGCACTACACCCGACATAAACTAGTGAATCCTTTTCCTGATGTTAGATGTCATTCTTGTAGCATGCTATGTCATAAATCCTGCATTTACAGAAGTTACTGTATGACACATCTAGTGTGGAGGCCAAAATCACTTGCACCACAACATAATATGTATGCAAGTCATTCATCAAGGCATAAGGTCGCACCCAAACCCACTTGGATTCTCAAATCTAATATTTAATTGACTTTGTAGGACTGCTCTCACAAAAGATCTAGTGAGATCATGTGGTAAATTGATAGTTGATGCTCAAGGCACATGATTGGAGACATGAAGCAATTTATTACGCTGGAGGCTAGGGCAGGAGGCAAAGTTACACTTGGAGACAATACCACTATCAAAGTGGTAGGTTCATGAATGGTTGGTAATTACAGAAAAAAAAAATATTTAAAATGTCTTAGTAGTAGATGGCCTGAAACATAACTTGCATAGCATTAGTCAATTGTGCAATAAAGACTTTCATATTAAATTCTTATCTACTACTTTTGTCATCAATTTAAATGGATCAAAATATTATTTTAGAAGGATAAAGGATTAATAATATTAACATGCTTGATTTGAATTGTATTGAATTTACTGGTTATATATGTTTAAAAATAATCACTGATGAATCCTAGCTATAGCATAGGAGACTATGTCATGCAAGCATGAATACTCTTAGAAAAATAACCCAAAAGGACCTGGTTAGAGGCATATCCAAACTAGAATTCTCTAAGGACCACCTTTATGATGCTTGCCAACTAGAAAAATAAATAAAACTTCCTTTCACTCAATCAGGGACATAACCACTTATAAAGCTTCAGAAATCCTTCACATTAATCTGTTTACACCAATTAGCACTGCCAGCTTAAGTGGGAAAACATATGGATATGTGATTATTAATGATTACTCAAGATTTACTTCGATTAGATTTTTATCATATAAAAATGAATCATTCGAGAAATTTTGGACATTCTCCACATATATTCAGAAGAAATTAGGTTGTGAAATTCTAACTATCCATGGTGATCAAGGTGACGAATTTGAAAATGATAAGTTTGAATCATTTTGTAAGGAGCTAGGAATAGACATAATTTTTCAGCTCCTAGAATCCCTCAACATAATGAGGTTACTAAAAGGAAGAATAGAATTTTGTTAGAAGTTGCTAGAGCCATGTTAGTTGAGTATTCACTTCCTAAATATTTTTTAGCAGAAGTAGTGAATAATGCTTGCTATATTCTCAATAGGCTTAATGTCAGATCCAAACTCAATAAGATACACAATGAATTACTCAAAGAAAGGACACCTAATCTCTCTCACATTCATATTTTTGAATGTAAGGTGTTCATTCTAAAGAATGAAAAATATTCATTAAGAAAATTTGATCCTAAATTTAATGGAGTTGTGCAAGGATATTCATCTGCAGGTAAAGCCTATAGAGTTTTTAATAAGAGGACATTAGTTGTAGAGGAGACCACCCATGTAGTATTTGATGAATCTGATAGATCTATTGATCCTAGTTTAGAAGAAAAAGAAGTGGTTGAGGTCGCCCACGGAGTAGAATCTATTGACCTAGAAACTAAAGTAGAGCCTGGAGATATTCGTCTAGTCATCCTAAGGAGCTCATCCTAGTAAATCCATCTGTAGGAGTAAGAACTAGGCATAGACTTAAAAAGGAGGTTAGCCACTCTACTTTCATCTCTATGGTAAAACCCTCAAATATAAATCAAGTCATATCTAATGAATTTTGGGTCATAACTATTTAAGAATAATTGAATTAATTTGTTAGAAATGTTGTTTGGGTGTTGGGTAGCAGACCTAAGGACCAGAGTGTTGTAGGAATTAAGTGGGTTTTGAAGAATAAAATGAATGACTCTAACATAGTGGTTATAAATAATGCTAGATTAGTAGCTAAGGGGTAGAATAATATTAAAAGAATTAACTTTGAAGAGACCTTTGCCCCTGTAGCCAAGTTTGATGCCATTATGGTATAGTTAGCCTTTGATTACTTTAGAGGATTCAAGTTATATCAAATGGATGTTAAGAATGGCTACATAAATGGGGCAATTAAAGAAGATGTATATGTTGAGCAATCCATAGGCTTTAAGAACTCTCAACTTTCCAATTATGTATCCAAATTAAAGAATACATTATATGGATTGAAGCAAGCGCCTAGAGCCTAATATGAGAGGCTAAGTAAATTCCTCCTAGATAGAGCCTTTATTAAGGGTGGTGTAAACACTATCCTATTCCTTAAGAAAGTAGGAGAATATATGCTCATTGGTCAAATTTATGTTGATGATATACTTTTTGGATCCATAAATAAGAATCTTTGTGATGAATTTTAAAAATAATGAGTGAGGTGTTTGAGATAAGCATCATGGGAGAGCTTAACTATTTCTTTAGATTTAGCATGAAGCAAAGGGATGATGGAACCTTTCTGAACCAAATAAAATATATCA